AGAGAGAGAGAGAGAGAGACAGAGGGGGGGAAAAAAAATAAAGAGCGCACTGTTAACTCGAGTCACATTGCGGCTATCGTTTCGCGGCGAGCGCGCGCGCGCGCACGCACGCGCGAGCGAGAAACCACCGATCGACACCACGCACACGCACACTTTCGCGGAGTTCCACGGCACTGTGGATCTTAGGCGCGAAGACAGCACAGAGGAACCGGGATCGTTCCGTCGGAAAATTACACGGTCGCGCGCTTTCGTTTCCGAGAGAGGCAACGAAAGAGAGAGAGAGATTATTGCGGCGCGACGAGAACGAACGTCGGCTGACGGTCGCTGGAATCTGCGGAGGAACCGTGGAACTCGCGCGGTCCCGACGCGTCTAGCAGCTCCATCTTGACTCGCTCGAGTCGGCGGCGGTCGCACGGCGCTCTCTCAGAGTCAAGTCTCTCTCTCTCCCTCTTGCGCGCACACACACACACGCGCGCGGGCGCGCGTTCCTCCGTCGTTCCGCTCACTCACTCTCGTTGGTATGTCCGTCCGCTCTCGCTCTCGCCCTCTCGCCAGCGCGCGTCCGAGCCGCTCTCACTAACACAATAAATCCATTGTGAGGGAGAATTCCTGGCGGCGCATTCCGCATGTATGTAAGAGTACGAGGAGAGCGGAGAAGAGAGCGGAGGCAAGGAACGAGCGAGCGTGCGAGCGAGTGAATGAGGTGGAGAAAGAGGAAGAAAGAGAGAAAGAGAGAGAGTCACCGACTCGAGGCAGCTCGGACTCCGCTGGCTCGTGTTCGCGGATGTCGTTACGAAGGAAGAGGTAGAAAAGGTGAACGAGAAAGAGAGAGAGAGACGTGCTCACCAAGGGGAAAGGGGCAGGAGCGAGAACGAGAGTGTACGTACGTATCCACGCATGCACGCGCGCGTACGTGCGTGCGTGCGTGCGTGCGTGTGTGCGTGAGGTGGGAGGTAAGTAGCGAACGAAGGGGCGAGGGAAAAAGAAAAGGAGCCGATATACCGGAGGGACGTTTGGTGGGGAGGGAATTAATGCATGCCGGAGGAGGAGGAGGGGGGGCGGCGGAGGGAACGAAAGTGGAGGAAGAGGAGCGAAAGGGGAGCGAGCGAGCGAGCGGGGGGGGGGGAGCAGGGGAAGAGAGTACGAGGCGTGTATATGGTCGTCGTATAAATAGACGAGAGTGGCGATATAGGCGTCGTATAGTACGACTCCTAGGGCAGGTAGTGTGGACGCTCGTCGTAACATGCGACCGACGACTGCTCCACGGCGCGCGCTCACTCGCCTCCCGTCCAGTGTGGGTAGCACACCACGCCGGGAGTCGCGCACCGACACACACGCGCTCGCTCGTACGCGCGGCGCATACACACGCGAGGTCGAGGGCGCGAGAGAAGGCGGCGTGCGCGCGCGCACTGCGAACACACACACACACACCCACCACCACCACCGACGCGCGGTACCACCGCGCATCCCGAGTGCACTCGTGCACTCGCGTGAAATACCGTGCGCGCACAGCGAAATACGTACGTGCCCCCGCGCCGCGCTGTTTTCGTCGTACACACTGTTAGGCTCCACGATGCTCGGGGCCGCTTCTCGCCAGCCGCGTTTTCACTCCCGCACTCGCGACACGCGCACGGGAGACGGATGAATGAACGCGGGGGACGGAGTGTCGCACGGGATCGTGCGTATCACCGGCGGGGGAGTCGCGGGTTTCTTTTCCTCTTTTTTTTTCTACCTACCTACCCCTCGTAGCTTTCTCGCTCTCGCGTTTTCGGCGCGACGGGGCCTCGCGAGAGGGGCCCTCCCCGCGGAGCGCGCGTCGCGTCACGTCACGTCACGTCACGTCGCGAAGCACGGTCGCCGCTACCGCGGTTGGTCTTTACCGACCGGGAGAGCAGCGCGACCGAGACAACGGCGACGACGACGACGGCAACGGCAACGACGACGGCAACGTCGTCGCCGCTGCTGCTGCTGTTACTGCTGTTGCTGCTGCTGCTGCTCGGGGACGCGAGCGAGGGTCGAGCCGGCGGCACCGAATTATTGACATCGCCGTCACCGCGTACGCGTTTAGAACGTGTCGCGACGATTCCCGCAGGTACTCCTCCGCGCCTCCCTCCCCCTCGCCCCTCGCCTGTACCGCTGTCGATGAATCTCGCTCGCTCGCGTGCACCGGTTACTCTCCAATTCGATTGCTCAACTGAACCGCCTGCGACGAGCCAGAGTCGTATAACCGAGGCGGCCGACCACGCGCGCGCATGCACACACGTATACGCGTAAGAGGGAGGGAGGAAGAGAGCGAGCGAGAGAGAGAGAGAGAGAGAGAGAGAGAGAGAGCGTACGTTCAAGCCACCACTACCAGCGACTCCCCGCTGTGCGCCTGCTCCCCCTCCGCCCCCACCTCTTCCTGCGCCTCCTCCTTCACCTTCACCTTTTCCGACCGCTGCCTCCTCCTATGATTCCACTTCTACGCTCGTGTATCTCGGCGGACGTGCACGCATACGCTTCACCGAGTCACTCGGACGAGCCGAAACGACGCGCTCGTTCACTCCGACGGCCCCTACATTCACGTATTTACACACGCGCGAGCGCGTATGCACACACGGCCGAGAGGGACGGAGAAGGAGAAGAGGCGAGAGACACGCTCGCTCCCACTGACAGTTGCCATATCTCTCGACCGCGTGCGTACGTGCGTGCGTGCGTGCGTGCGTGTGTGGCCGCGCGCACGCGTCCGCCTCCGCGCACGTACGGTCCCCGCGGCGCAGGGCGGCGCGGGGCGCGCGCTCACACGAACGGATGCACTTGTGCGCGCGCTAAGCGGCTCCGCCACGCCGCGAGTAGCGACGGCGCGGCGGCTCGTCGTCGACACGCGCGACCGTACCGTATATGCGTGTGCGCGCGCCCGACAGCCTCTAACCCGGAGCGGTGCACACCTACGCACACACATCCGACCACCAGCGGTCCGTCGCCACGGACTTGCGAGCCTTCCCAGGAGCGTAGTTCGCTACCGCGCTTCTAACCCGTTCTTTCTTTTTTTTTCCTTCGTTCTCTCCTCGCCGCTGATGAGTAACCGGCGGAAGGATCGCACGGCGATCCTTCCAATTTCGAAGACTCGAGAGATTAATCCCGCGAGGATCGGATTTGCCCCTTTCAATTTTTAAATAGCGCACGCTGTTGTTTCCGCGCGGCTCAGACCCTTCCTCGCCGGGATTCTACGGCTTCTTCTTCAGGAGAGAAATTAACTTTCAATCGCCGTACGAGTAAATGTCGATTAACTTCCTCGACTTTTTGACACCAGTTCAATCGGCCTTATTTGGCGCTGGCCAAAGGGACGCAGTCCATCCGCTTAAAAGTTCCGACAACGAGAATGTTTTCGAGAACTCGGGGAAAACTGACCCGAAAGTCGTCAACTTTAGATCAATCTTCAACAATGTTTGTGGCAGCTTGCAATATTGAACGACGGCTATAGACGTAGAGCTTATTAACGCGTAGCGGTGTATACGCGGCGACATTCCTTATTGAAAACGGAAATGATACTTCCGCGGCAAAGGCATCGAGAAAAACAACACTTCTCGACGCGCGAACAGCGTGGAGTTTTCGGTAAGATACGCTTCACTCGGAAGACGATAATGAAATCCCGCTCGATTAATTCGAGCGAGATAAACGAGTCCCGCTTGAATTTTCACACGGAATACAACTATCGGGATACTTAACTCCTACATTCTCAAAGAGTGCGGGAAAGTGCTACGACTAATTAACAAAATGTTGGGGTACACCCTGCAAAACGTATACGAATATAAACAAGGTGAACAGCAACGTTAAGTCGTCAATTA